TTAGAGCTCTTCAAATTCACAACATGTAGCTTGAACACACCTACAAATCTGCAGGCCTTACGAATATAGTTTGTGCAAGAAATGATCACTTTGCAGGCTCCTATTTGAAGCAGCCATTCCAACATATGCATACATCAGTTGAGGCAACGAGATCAATTGCCTCAACTGGCCCAAAAGAAGCAAAATCAGTATTGTTATGGTAATTCACTATCTGGAGATAAAAGCGTCGGTAAAATAATGCAATCATAAGGCATGACCCTAACCAGCTTAGTTGCCCAAAGCCCACCAAAGGACAACTCTATTGACTCGTCAGGCGATGTGTCGTCCGTGTCGACGCGAAATGCGGAGTCAGTCGACCCTTCATGACCAAGAAGACTACTCAAGAGTCCACCCGACCACGAACTCGACTGTAACCTGGACCAGAAGTTCACTCGACTACCCAGTCGACAAACCACGAGGACAACTCAAAGACTGACACATCTCTGCCAAGAGGATAAGATCAAACTAAGCTCCCTCCGATATACACCAGCTCTCTCATCAAACACTGCAACACTGACTGGTCCCATCAAGACCACAGCTCTGACAGTCCCCATAGCTCATTAACCAACATGCTCTCTATAGCACCCTCACAAGCCACTTCCCGGATATTGCGGAGACATCCTCTACCTTGCTCGAATGACTTCCCCTCCAGTTGCCAGCCAACACCTGTAAAGTGAGGGATGACTCAGCTACCGACGTTTCTTTTGCCACGCCCATCTATCACTTCATAGATATTACAGAGATTTAATCCTCTCCCATACCAAAATGACTTCCCCTCTAGTCGCCTACTAACACTTGTAATGTGGAGAATGACTCAGCAGCTAGCATGCTCGCTCTACAACCGCCCTCTTGTGCCTGGTCAAAACGACGGGATAACACCTCGGGAGAATCCAATATAAAAAGGGCTTATTCACCCTCTTCGAGGGGGTTCTTTGGCTAAAAAAATAGTAAGAGAAAAATAAGAACTCTAAACTCCAAACACCCCTTTACAAAGACCTCAATGGTCTTAGGACTTTCCCTTAAACTCCGCTCAAGCTCACCAGCTAACTTGATCGTCAGAGGTACAACGGGGAACTAGTCCCCGCCCTCTTACGGGTTTGCTCTTCTTGTCTTTGTTACAAAACCAGATACCTCAATTCAACAATTATGAATAAAGTCGGAGGAGGAGTCAGCCTCATCTCGCACACCTTCTCCATCTTCATCATCAGCACGAGGACCCGAGTTGTACTCACCCGAGGATAGTTCCAATTAGCTGTGTGATATTCGACATCAACAATTTGGCGCCTATCATGAGGCCTACTTTCTTTTCTGAGAATACATGCCCAATTCTGAGCAAGGGCCTGATTCTGTTCATCCTTGAAGAACACTACCGAAATTGTACCATTCAAGCTAAACGAAGCCGGAAATCGCATCATCAAGCTAAGGAGGATTAGCCCTCGAGGGCCCCTACAGCTTTCTGGGGAGTATTTGCCAAGCGGGCCATCCACCAGATGATGGAACCGCTTCTAGAACCTCGAAAACCCTTTTGGAGAAGACGCATCACTATGGTGGTTGTTTGGCTTGAACATGAAGCGTAGGCTTGTTATCGTCTCCACAGACGAACTCCACCTTCTGGACAGCCACGAAGCATAGAGTTGGAACACAAAGCAGAATCCTACCTCCTACAAGGGTTATGATAAGATCCAGGGTCATTCAAGCTCCAATCAACCGACAAGATCACACGAGTAAGGAGCAGTGATCAAATCTATGGTAGGCTCCTCGGACCATCATCACCTTCATAGGAGAGCTCTTATATGCCGGGGATGAGATTAGGGGAAAAATTCGGGGACTCACCATCTGGCCTTCTCAGGAAGATTAACAGCCCTGGCCCCTAACAGATGCTCGAACCACCAAAGTCGAAGCAAGCACTAGTGATCGAAGCATGTGGCTCG